GGAGTGGGTCAGGAAGAGGTTGGGGATCGAGGGGTTTGAGATACCCTTTTTCCATCAAGACTTTTAGTGCATTGGTTAAGCTCATATGGAAGGGGGTGAAAGTTGTGCCCGGGTTGGGCTGGTTGTTTGTGGGTTGGATGGACTGGACTGGACCTTTGCTGAGTAGGTTTTTTCTGGAATTAGATGGATTATGATAAGTTAAGGCTTTCTAGGTTGGATTGGGTTTGGCTTTTACTGAGTTGGGTACTGTTCTTTCTTTGGCTCAGACAAAACCTGGCATTAAAAATAAATGCCTCATCAGATTGGGATACCGGGTGTGCTGGTCAAAACAAAGCATGATACGATTTGGCCCTGGTTCTGGTTTTGCTGAAAATTCGCCCATATCAAACATAAACCCCTAAATTTTGACCCAAATCTGATTCTGATATGACCATCAAGTTTGAAAGGAATTGCCTCAATATTAAGACTCTTTGAGGATTGCATCATACATTTCCAAAGAGTTCACATTTTGCACAAAATCATTCAAAACACCCCTATGAGAGGTTTAGGGTTTCCATGTCCTAACTTTGAAGTGATCAACGATTTTACTATTCAAACAAGTGGTATCACAACATCCTGTATTCGGGCGAGCATCTTGTCCTAGTTTGGAACAGTTACTATAGCTTCACTATATGCAACTAGGTCGAATGGTCAAAACAGGGTACCTCAGCAAGACTACCTAATATACCTCTCATACCTAACACCGAGAAGTGAAAAGAGGGTCAAACGGTACAGCAGTAATCCAGATCCAAGGGTTATGTTCCCGACATGGTGGAGCCCACGACCGATCAGCCTTTTGACAAGCTTTTAGGCAAGCTTCTGGCAAACCGTCCAGGATAGCAGATGGCAAACACAGTGACTTAAGTGCACCAATGTAAATGCAATGCAAAGAACATATATAGGTAGATAAAATTTCACATCATGAGGTTCGAGTCAAGTTCTCTAAATCCCTAATGGAGTCGCCAGAAACTGTAGCATGCCCAGAGGGTACCTGTGCGCGTTAAACAGTTCAGACCCTCGATCTCTTTGATCTAGTCTCACGAGGGCAATGTGAAACATAGATGAGAGTCTAGATTTGGCAACTTTTATTGAAAATCCATTTTATTGCAATTTTGTAAAAAATAGATTGCGTCATCAGATCTTAGAGTCGCCACCTAATATTTATTTTGGAAAAATTACGAAACCTATGACTCGTGCCCAGGCCACTGTTCGTCGTAACCAAGGATGCTTGGCTCGGAACCTTAGGTATGAAGGGGGAAGGTCATTAATTGAGCACCCCCGCTCACCCGATCAAAAGATCGGCGTTTACTAACCATGATATGAATTTTATTTTCTTATATATTCATGTTCTGATTATTAAGCTAGCATTACTATGTGATGTGTACACACAAGGTATAGACTAGTTTGCTCAAATTGGAAGAATTCAATTTCATGTTTGTTTTTCGAAAAGGGGTTTAAATTTGTCACCTCAAGTGGGCTTAAAGTTTGTGAATTTGCCACTACAAACTGGGCTTAAAACGTACATTTGTTGAATCATTCCAATTCAAACAATAAAATCTTCATCCACAAGCATTCAAACAGTTTATCATTTAAGCAATTAGCCTCATGGCAGGATGCTAAACATAATAAGAAAATTATGTACAAGCGGGATGCTAAAACATAACAACTCACATATTTACCGACGTCCTGCGAACAGTTACAAAACAAAGTTAGTAAAATATGCATGATCCTATATACAGAATCCTAATGTAATACATACATAAGAGGAATGTTTCTAAAGATCTATCTTCTAAAACATGACATGTGAAATATTGCGAAACATGCGATATTACACAAAATCATGTAATAATCAATTAAAGCACAAAGATACAAATTTAGCCAGACCTAAACATGAATCATGAATGCAAAGCATGGATATGCATGGCATGTTAGATATATACATATGCGCAGCTAGGGAAAGCGATTAAAGAATGGGATAGAAAGAAGCGGAGTGAAGAATTATTACAACATTTTAAATATTACAAATCGAAGAGAGATGAATACAATAAAAATCCTTACAAACACTCAAAATAAAACTAAAAGTTTTAAACCTCAGGCCATTAGCAAATATCCATCTGTCTTCAATCCAGCAGGCTTGCACACCTCAGCCCATGTACTCATCTTCAATGGAGGGCCCCACCTTATAAGCCGTTCCACCAGTTTTCAAGTTTTAGAAGGGTACAACTCCACAAAGAATATAGTCTTAAGACCCACAATGATCAAGACAAATACATTCAGTACAAAATTAGCCAACAATGCAATTGTGGCTTGAGTTCAAGGCATGGAGGGCATTCCCAGGTTCAATAGAATCCTCACCATTTACCCTTTCTGATGTTAGCTTCTAAAATTATAGATTCATCCAATATTAGAGGCCAACAAAGCTTAACAATGTGCAAACTCATTGATCTGAACTCGAAAGCATTTTGTGTCGGTTGGAGATTTTGCGACCTTCACGGTGCAGAAGAAACAGCACCAAGCAAGAGCTACGCGCACAAGCCAAGGTCGAGAGAGAGCTACCGGCCACGGCAGGTCAACCAATGACGAGCCAGCCACAACACTGTCCTATGCGCGCGACTACTCAACTCGCTTGACCCGCACGCTTCGCCTCCAACCCTTGCGATATCAACACTGCTTTAGGCCGTGACTGACCAGCACCGACCACACACACAGAGTGTGACGTTAAAGAAATAGGGGGTCATGACCAGTCATGACCTCCCATAATCTTCTCTTAATTCCGTCCTTGGTTCCAAGTATTTTGTTTGAAAACGGGAACTCATGGAAGGTGGATGGATACCAGTTGTGAGAGCCAAGGGTAGATCAGGGACATGGAGGTCGCGGATGAGTTCAGGAGTGTTCACTGTGTTTGTGGATAATCTTCCAGCATCGTTGGATCCAAAAGGAATGTTCAACCTCTTTATGACGTTTGGGGTGATAAAAGATGTTTTTATACCAAAAAAGAGGAGAAGGGCTACCAACACCAGGTTTGGCTTTGTGATGTTTGAATGCTTGGAGGCAGCCAGAGTAGCCGTTCAAAAGGCCAACGGTCTATGGGTGGACGATCGTCCATTGCAGGTAAAACATGCAGAGTTTGGGAAGGTCAAAGCAGTTCATAAAGCTGCTCGAACGCTACCGAGTGCTCCAGGGCGGAGGGAAATACCTCAGGCCACTGGAGAAGGAGTGGGTAAAGACGGACCAAAAGGTTTTAGAGATCAGAGATCTTATGTACAGGCGGTGGCAGGAGAAAGGGCCAAAGGATTAGGGGGCATATACTTAAAAGCAGAGGAATTTGGAAATGGTTGGTTGCTTGAAAGTGTAGTCATCAGATTGAAGGCTCAATATGCTGATGTCAATCTCAAAAAGGAGTTGGAAGGTATCGGAATTGAGGATATTATGGTTCGGGAAAGTGGGGGCAGAGACGTGGTTATCACATTCCGATCAAAGGAGGAGAGGACATTGAAACTACCACCTATGAAGGAGCTGATTCTGGAGTGGTGTGAAGATATTGTCGATGGAGAATCAGGGTAGGTTCTGGAACAGGAAATATGTGTTTGGTTGAGCTGCTATGGTATCCCTCTTCATCTATGGAATAGTTCTAATGTAAGGAGGTTAGGAGAGGTATGGGGGCAAGTGTTATGCTTCGAAGGTGATATGAGCCAACCCTCTTCCTTTGTATGTGCAAAGGTGAAGGTGTCCACTAGAAGTGTGGAACCTATAAATTCTGTTGTAAACATGGAATGCAGAGGCTCGGTGTTTCCAGTGAGAGTTTGTGAAGAACAGGTGGTAACAGTGCAAACACTTAAACTTTCTTGCAGATGTAATGAGATTAAAGATGCACCTGAGATTGGAAGTTCAAACACATTGGAGGAACATAGTGTGGGTTGGAATTGCAGGGAAGGTGGAGGTGATGATGCTGACAAGGATATAGAGGATGTATCAGCGGCTGACCTGGAGGTCGGCCATGGTGTACCTCAGGAAGTTAGGCCAGCTGGCCGTAGCAAGAGCGTGGAGGTGGATAGGGCGGTTGGTCAGAGGAGTGTAGTGGAAGCCATAGTTGTTCGACATGATGGGAAGAAGGCAATGTCGGCTGCGAACTGCAACAAAATGATGATGGAGGTGCGAAACCAGAGGATCGGCTTCACTGAGGAGACAGTTGTTAATCAGAGCGAGGAAATTCAAATGTGTACGCCAGGATTTGTTCGAAGTCTAGGTAGATCGAGCCTAGAAGGGCCAGGTGTGAATATTGAAGTGTGTTTGGGCCAGATTAGTAAACTAGAGCAGGTGGGTGGGCCTTATCATTCTCAAATTGGGCTGAGCCAGCAGGACCTAATTGCAAGGAATAAGTCTGAGGAGGGCTTGCCAGATGGGAGAGTGTCAAGCCTCTCTGAAGGCCATGAGGAGGAGCCCAGTAGTAGTAGTCATCTAAGGCTCAGGAAGGGGAAGAAAAAAGTCTCGAATAGGTCAAAACCGAACCAGAATCCTCTAAGGAAAAAATACTTTGACCTGATGAGGAAGTATGGTAGTAGAGGTGCCTCAACCAGCAAAGCACTTCCCAAAGCTGCAGTATGGCGGGCAGCAGTGGCAGCCGTGTCCCTATCTGCATCAATCGAGGGTGGAGTTGACAAGGGAAGGGTGGTCCTGAATGAAGCTGAAGCAACCTTGAAAATGGGGGAGGTTCTCGGTGTACAGTTCAATGGAAAGCGCGATGAAGTGTTGGAGCACATAAGGGATCTCGAATTGAGGGATAAGGATCGTATTGAAGGGGGGGTGAGAGGTGGGGTCTGAAGGACGCCAGATGGGTGGCTGTATAAGAGTAATTGTGGTTTATGATGAAGATCCTTTCATGGAATGTTAGAGGGTTGGGTAGGAAGGAGAAGCGAGGTAAAATTAAGAAGCTTCTCAAGGAGAGGAATGTTGATGTTGCGCTGCTCCAAGAAACAAAGAAGTCAGAATTAACAGAGGTGGATGCTAGGTCTGTGTGGGTCAGGAGCAAAATGGAGTTCATGGTGGTTGATGCCGTAGGCTCTACTGGGGGATTAGTGTGCATTTGGGATCCAGATGTCTTCCAAGTTAAAGAATGCTGCAGCAATAGAAGATTTATTTTATTATCAGGTACCCTTTTCAACCATTTTAATTGTGCTATTCTTAACATCTATGCACCAAATGACGTGGGTCCAAGAGGGGTGTTGTGGAACTGTCTATTGAAATTGAAGGAGGAATTCCCTAATCCCTGGTGTTTAGGAGGTGACTTCAATGAGATTAGGCAGATTGGAGATAGGAGAGGGTGCTCTAGGAGAGATAGAGGCATGAAAGACTTTAATGAGTTCATTGATAAATGTGAGATCTCCGATTTACCATTACTTGGAAGGAGATTCACCTGGTGTAATTTATATGCTGGTGAGAAGTGGAGTCGGATAGATCGAATTTTTGTAGACCCAAAGTGGCTAGAGATGTTTAACATCAAACTCTGGGGTCTTCCCAGGATGGTCTCTGATCATTGCCCTCTTCTTATGATGGAGGATGAGAGAGACTGGGGCCCAAAGCCCTTCAGGGTTCTGAATGCATGGTTTTTACACAAAAATTTTCAGAGTTTCTGGGAGTCTAAGTGGAAAGAGTCTACTGTGGAAGGCTGGGCTGGATTTATCCTAACTCAGAAATTGAAGTTGTTAAAAAGTAACCTTAAAAGTTGGAATGTAGAGGTTTTTGGGAATGTTGTGAACAAATTAAAGACTGTTGAGGGAGAACTTCACAGCTTTGATCTTCTGGCTGAGGTTAGAGACCTTGATGGGGAGGAAAAGGTTAGGAGAAGTGAAGCTAGAATTGAAATGTGGAGATTGAGTAGGATGGTCGAATGGTTATGGCTGCAAAAGTCTAGGCTTAACTGGACTATGAAAGGGGATAAGAATACAAGATTTTTTCATGTCATAACAAAATGCAGAACAATAAGAAATGAAATAAACTCTATTACAGAAGGGGATGTGGTGTTTGAAGAGCCGAGGCTTGTAAAGAGCAAGGTGCTTGAGTATTTTCAAAATCAGTTCACAGAGAGTTGGGCAGCAAGACCTGTGTTGGGGGGTCACTTTCCTTCAGTACTAGGTAGAGCTAGGGCTGACTTGCTTGAATCAGAGTTTACAGAAGCAGAGATAAAATCAGCTGTGATGGAGTGTGATGGGAACAAAGCACCGGGACCCGATGGTTTCAATATGCTGTGTTTCCAGAAGTTTTGGAAGGTCATGAAGGGTGAGGTTATTAACTTTGTGAACGAATTTCATAGGAATGGCAAGCTGGTAAAAGGCATTAACAGTTCCTTCATAACCCTCATTCCTAAGAAGGACAATCCAACTGGGCTAACTGACTACAGACCCATAAGCTTGGTGGGTTCGATTTATAAAATCCTAGCAAAACTGTTGGCTAAGAGATTGAAATCTGTCATGCCAATTATCATTAGTGAACCCCAGTCTGCGTTCTTAAGTGGGAGGAATATTCTAGATGGTGTGCTTATTGCGAATGAGGTTGTTGAGGGTTGGAAGAAAGCCAAGAAGAAGGGAGTACTTATCCAGTTGGATTTTGAAAAAGCATATGATTCCATAAATTGGGGCTTCCTTTTCTCTATGTTGAATAAGCTTGGGTTTGGAGCTAAGTGGGTCAATTGGATGAAGGAGTGTATAACAAATTCTAGAGTCTCAGTTCTTGTCAACGGATCTCCAACTGAAGAGTTTAGTCCTCAAAGGGGTCTAAGGCAAGGTGATCCACTGTCTCCTTTCTTGTTTAACCTAGTTGCAGAGGGTCTCCACTTGTTGTTAAACAGAGCTTGTGAGCTAAACCTTATTAAAGGGGTGAAGGTAGGATCTAAGGGAGTCTTGTTGTCTCACTTACAGTTCGCAGATGATTCACTCCTATTTTGTGAAGCTGAGGTGGAAGAGGTGAGAAAGTTGAAAAGGGTGCTAAGATGTTTTGAAATTTTTTCTGGTCTTAAAATAATTTTTCATAAGAGTGTTGTATGTGGTGTGGGTGTCTCTATGGCTATGATGAATGAAATGGCTGCAGTGTTGAATTGCAAAGTTAAAAAATTACCACTCAGTTACTTAGGGCTGCCTCTCGGAGCTAATCCAAGAAAGAAGGCCACTTGGAAACCAGTTGTGGACAAAGTTAAAAGTAAGCTGGCTGGTTGGAAGAGGAAGATGTTGTCTTTTGCGGGGAGGCTCATACTTGTTAAAACAGTAACCTCAGCCTTGCCAGTGTTTTATTTATCGTTGTTTAAGTTGCCTGAAGGAGTTGCTTCAGAGTTGGACAGGCTCGAAGCTACCTTTTTATGGGGTGGATCCGAACAGGATAGGAAAATCCACATGATCAAATGGGAGGATTTGTCTAAAGGTATGGACCAAGGTGGTTTGGGTATCAGGAATTTGAGAAATGTGAATAAGTGTCTGTTAATCAAATGGTGGTGGAGGTTTGGTTGTGAGAAGGATGCGTTGTGGAAACGAGTTATATGCAGTAAATATAAGATGGGGGTGGGTGGTTGGATTCCATCACTCACTCCATCAAATAAATACTCACCAATTTGGAGAGGGATCATCTCCGCAGCTGATCAGTGCACTAGCCTTAAGGAGCATTATTTGAACAATTTTCAGTTGAAGGTAGGGGATGGGAAGAGAATAAGCTTTTGGGCTGATAATTGGCGTCGTTCTGGGTGTTTGAAGGATGAATTCCCTACTCTCTTTAGGCTGTCTTTGGAAAAGAAGGAGACCTTGAGCATTTTGGTTGACAAGAAAATCAGAGCAGGGGGTTGGGCTCTGGCTTTTAGGAGGGAGTTGTATGATTGGGAGAAGCTGGATCTGGCTAGGCTCCTAAATATACTACTTGAAGCTCCTGACCTGCGTCCTGGTTGTCCTGACCAGTCTGTCTGGTTAGCTTCTTCTTCTGGAGTCCTAACTGTAGCAGATCTGTACAAGTCCTTTCTGGCTTCTGCAGGTGATACCTTGAGCATAACAAAACTGATATGGCTAAAGGTTATCCCTCCCAAGGTGCAGGTTTTCTGTTGGTTTGCATGGAAGAGGAGAGTGAAGACCAAGGAGTATTTACAGCGTCTGGGTGTGCTTGATCAGGGTGCCTCTACAACGTGTGTGTTCTGTGGCAGTGGAAGTGAATTAGTGAACCATGTACTAATTTGGTGCCCCTTTGTGTGGAAGATCTGGGCAGAAATGCTGAGATGGTGGGATATCCAAGCTGTTATTCCTGGCTCGGTGGAGACCCTTCTCTGGTGGTGGGCAGGAGGGAAGTTGAGGAAGTTAGAAAGGAAGATTTGGGGAGTAATTCCAATGGTTGTAATGTGGTCCACTTGGAAGTGCAGAAATGAGTGTGTGTTCAGAGCAACCACCCCGAATCTGGAAGATCTTTGTGAGGTAATCAAGCATCGGATTGCCTTTTGGGTAAAACCATACTTTCCAGATTTCTGCTTTACAGTGCAGGACTTCATCTATAATTTGAGGCAAATTAGAAGGTGCTTGGGTGGGTCTGTGGGTGTTATG